GCTTCTGCGTGTCCAGAGTTAACTGAATGCTGATATTCAGTCCCTGGGGAGGCACTGGATAGAGTAAAAGTCTCTAAGTTGGTCAGGTCTTCAGGAGCAACAAAAGTTTGTGTAGTGCTATCCTCCTCCTGAAATTGAGTGGGTGGAGCTGCAGATTGTAGTGGCGGTTGGTGTGAAGGTGGAGCTGGTGATTGAGTGAATGACTGGGCAGCAGGAGATTGAACTAGGGACAGCTGGGCAGCTAAACGGGCTTCTGGCCGGGCAGCTGCTGTCCTCACCCGAGGAGCTGATACGGGTACAGAGGCCGGCAGAGCCTCAGCCGGACTGGAAACCAGAACGGGGATCAACTGGGCCCCAACCCTCCTCTCCTGGGGAACTGGGACAGGAGCAGGAGAATGCAGGGCTGCAGCTGACCTTAGAAGGGGAGCACAAAGAGGCAGGGAGGCAGGCTCAGGGAAAACAGTCTTTTTTAGATTACTTTTCTGCTCCACATGAAAAAATAAAGAACAGTCTGTTAATTTCACTGACTGTACAGATTCTGTTAACTCCAGGGGTCCAGAATCAGCTGAGGACAGTAACTCAACCTCTGGGGAAGCCCTGGGAAAAATTTCAGTCTCCGGAAAAGCCAGTTCTTTAACTGCAGTAACAGTCTTAATGGAAACAGACTCTGAGCCGACATTAACTGTATGTGTTATTATATTCCTGGGCTCGGAAGGAACATGAAAGAGACCTTTAAAATCCATGGAGCCAGAAAATGTGGCCTGGAAAGAAATAGTCTCTGACCCTGCGATTTCAAATTTGACAAAACCTGAGCTGGCTGTCATAGAGTTCATTGGCTCAGGAATGGTTGACTCAGAGGTTGTAAGTCCAGGCTCGGAAGGAGCAAAGTGAACACAGTCTCTCCGACTCACCGCATCTGTTGATGACTGCCGGTGACGTGGACCCATGACATTCATTTAAGGTCATCGTGTGTTTTGTGAGCAAATACATTTGCATATTCGTAGTGTTTCCTCCCTTAAAT